TTTAAAGGAGTCGAAAGTGGTTTGGGGTTTTTAAAGATAAAGTCGAGCACTGGTCATGCAATAAGATTATAAAATGAACTTGTCTGGAAGCTTTTTGTCATGGATTGTTAGGTATTGTGATGTATCGGATTCCCCAAATTTGTAAGAAATTTGAATCACTCTAATTGATAACCCCCCCCCCCCAAAAAAAAAACAACAACAACAAAACAACAACATGCATTTCTCACAAAACGGGTATATAGGACCTGTATAGGACTACACATGCATTTGATCACTGTTTGGGCCCATCACTTCCACTATTTCATGTCATAATATTTTGAATATCAGAGGATTTGAAGAGAAATTCTTTTTCAAGTGGATACTCCAATCACAACTTTCTTCTAAATTGACATAAATAGAATGAGAAAACCATAGAATCATTAATTTTGTTCGTCTTTACCAGCACCCGATTTTCTCTTTAAAAGCCAAGAATAGAATGGGACCCTTTCTGCCACCGTTGACTGAACAATGAATTGGTGCTAGAAAGTCGTTTCGCTAATGATCCCCCTATTGTTGCGGTACGTTAATGGTTACCGAGGGAAAACTCTGGAACGGAGATTCAAGAGAAAAAAAGGGGAATGCTAATCTTGTTTCTTTTATTTAAATGGAATCGGATTTGTTGAAAAGGAGCCCTAATGGTTTGTCAAAACAGCAGGGGTAAAGTTTTTGTTTGCTTCCTACCAGTTTTCTGTTAACGCCCACTGATTTGTTGTTTTGTTATTGTTCTCTATGTTGGCAAACAGTAAAGCAATGACTCGTTATATTATTGATTATATTGGAGGGGTTTTTTTTGGGGGGGGGTTGGGCTAGTTGGGGGTGGATGAACCTTTGCATTATAAATCCACCTAGATATAAAACGATTCTTATACATTCGATTCATTTTAATGAAAAAGAAATCCACAATTACTGAATTAAAAATTCATCATTTATTAGTGCTAATAATCGTTATACCATTTCAAAATGAGAAGAAATATACATGAATTATTGAAAAGATCGGTCTTTGAAATGTTATTGGTCTCTACTATTGGTCCATAAACATATCAATGAAAAATAAGATATATCATACGACGCTATAAATTTATTTTATATTTGCATCACCACTGCTGCTATTATTAAAAGTAATCAATATTTAGAGACTGTTGAATCGAGGCAATTACGGGGGGAGGGGGGGGGGGGGCAGTCTTTGGTGAAATTGGACCCATATGCGAGAGCATCAATCTAAATATATGCCAGAATTTTCGTGTACACTACACTAATTGAGGGAATTCAAATGATGAATATTACTATGGCATATAGATTTAAGGGATTTTGGATGAATTGATCGGAACATCAATTTAGGGGAAATACCGGAAATGTCTGATATTGATTTTTATACATATGGGAAACGATTCATTTAAAAATCACGACTCATGTAACTTCATGATAACAAAGATATTCTTGTCTTAATTGAGTCGTGATTTTTAAATCAACTGTTGGTTAAGAAACGCCGTTTAATAATGGCTATAACATTTGCGATTAATCGCAGTATTAGATTTCGATCACAGCACAGGAAATAAAAATAGATGAAGACTATTAGAAGGCAAAGAGCTCTCAAAAACCATGTAAACTTCGATATACGGACTTGGCCCGTAAACAGATGGAAAGACATCAAGGCAAAATCATTTTTTTATTAAATTTATCTTCCCTCTCCTTCATTTCTTCTGTCCGCCGCGTTATTCAAATATGATATTTTAATTCCGAGATTAAATAAATTAGAATCTGAGAAAATAATTATGGACGATGGGGTCGACAAAACTCATTAATATAATGTGATTGCACATTGCTTTTAGCCTGAGTAAAACATGTACGAATGAAATTTAAATAAACGAAACTTGTGTTGAAATTGAGCACATAACATTTCTAAATACAGAAAATACATATCAAATTACGTGGAACCCCCCCCCTTCCTCATTTTCGAAAAACCAGACGCGAAACTAGGTATCTGCTTTACTTGGTCTAATGTGGTATTATAAAAACAGTAACTGAAGTCTAGATCAAATAGAATCTGAATGTGAAATCGAATGGTCAAATGCACTTGTGCAAACAAAGAATTTTTTTATATTTTTTTATACTGTATACTCCCAATGACATTTGGAAATTGCCCCCCCCCCTAAAGAGACTCTATCAGCGTAACATACATTAGTTAAAGGCCTCAAATGTCAACGATTCACAGCTTTATAATTATCCTTCAGCCGATCCATGTCAAACTTTGTTATGGTTTGTTTGCTGATTTACCTTAATCGCAAATTTAAAATAGAATAAAAAATAAAAGAACGAGAAAGAAACAATTTTTTTTGGAAGAGTGTTCATTGATGCACTTGAGAATATCGTCTCGGTCATGGAGTGCATGGATATACATGGCTAGTGGGAACGTGTCACGTCACTGTTCTTACTTTTGTGGGGTTCACACTATTTTGGTCCGAAATATATTCGTTGGTCTAAACTCAAATGGATTGATATTAATGGGCTAAGTCTTGCTCTGTCATCAAAAGAATTCACTAAGTACCGACATGGTACCAACCGGAAAAGATTTACCGATTTTTGTTTCCTTCCCCATGACTTCATTCTTTCTCCTTCTTTCTCTCTCTCTCTCTCTCTCTCTCTCTCTCTCTCTCTTTACTCTTCCAACGTCTTTCTTTTTTGTTTGACTTCCCCCTCCACTCGAGAAAAAAAAAACTCTTGAAGTGTGTTTAAGAGAAAAGTGGGGGCCATTGTTCCCGAATTTCATTCTACTCGGGTTGTTTCCGATCCCCAGAATAATTTTCTCGTGATTACGAAATTTTCCACTCTATTTCACTTAGCCTTTGAGTGGGCTCCAAGCCGACGGCGGCAAGACCCTTTTCTGCGTTAAACACGGGTATCTGAGCGAGGAATAAAGAGGAGGAGTGGTAGGGTGTAAGGAGTGTGGATGGTGGGCGGGGTTTAGAAGTTTTTCTTGTTCAAAACTTAAAATATCCGAGTTGTATACCATTTCTTTATTTACAATGATTTATTCTGTGATCTTTAGACAGGGTAGTCTCTTCAGTACATGAAAACTGCTTTGCAAGAGAGCACTGTATTACATAATACATTAAAAAACAGTAAACAAATTAAAGGTAAAGACCAGTTATGGTCATGCGATTGCATTGTGAAAGAAACGTTGTGGAATCGATCAGAAAAGGTTGATCATCTAGCATTTAGCATCTGCAAGGATCTGGAATCATCAAAATGATAGGAAATTTGGCCCATTCTTCGTAAAGTTACAAGCACTATACACAGAAAGATGTATATGGGACTACCCTATATCTCTCACAGTCCATGAGAGAAACAAATTTACCAAATATATGAATTAGTAGGCGGTTTCCCAGCAATTTTTTTATCATCATGTATTAGTCAAAACATATTCTTTCACATGATTGGTAATGAGAGCTTCCATTTCATTTTTTGAAATTGGGGCGTTTCCAATACTGGTCTTTACCTTTAATAGATGGTAAAATATTACGATATATGATAAAACAAAACAAGAGCAAACATGTAGACTGATAATGGAAACGTGTCTTAGACTTTTGAACTACAAAATTCGGCTAAAAATATACTCTTATTAATATAGATAAAATACCTCAACACGTCAATATTTCATCAACAGTTTTCATTCCCCTTCCCTCCTCCATTGGTATTTCAGCATATCATGCATGGACCCCTAGACCCCACCCTCCCCCAGCCATGAAATTATGTCATACGCTGATGAACTGTAGTGGTATGATATAGAATTTTAAAAAGAAAAGGGGGAAAAAAGAAAGAGGCATTCAACCATTTATAGGGCATTGCAACGGGTGCCCCCCACTCTTCTTCTTATTCTCCTTCAGGATAATCTGCCTCCTTCACTGCTGAAGATTATTGCAGATATATAAGTGAATTTGTGTGACGACATAGGGATGCACAGGTGTGCACTCCCCCGCCGATTAAACCAACAGTCACCCCTCCCCCCCCCCCCCCAAAAAAAAAATCATTGACAAAGACGGTGAATTCTCGCTACCCTAAATAGGTACGAAAATCTCGAAATTCGCGAGACGAGGTAATTTTCACTCTCTCGGGTCGTCACTACAACTTCCGGTATAGAGTCCCATCCCGCTGGCGCTAGCGCCTGTGTTCGCTGTGCAGAGTTTTCACGCACGCTAAAATCGATGCCAATCAGTGTAATTTGTACAGATTATAATATGCAATGGAAAGCTTCGGGCAGAATTAGTGACTTTAGCACAAAAGGCCGTTAAACTCTACCGTGAAAGAGAGGGTTGTGATCACGAACGCCTGCACAGGAAGCTGTAATGTCGAAAAGCTATCCCATAATGCAATGCGCGTTTTCAGGATTTTCCCCGGATGCGTTATTTTTTTATGCGGCACAGATTGGGGCATGGCGCGTGTTGAGCCTATGGGAAGTACGTTCTTTCCCTTCTGAATAATGTCTGCACATACGTGAGACTAGTCATGTTCGCTAGCGCATTAGCGCTGCGAAGAAGTTTGAATATCCATCGCGAACTATGTGTTTAGATAACATTCCTCTTCGTTTAAGTTAGTTAAGTTTTATTGACTAATTATTGTGATATTCTCCTTATTGACGTGCTTCCTCCTCTTCAGATTTCCAATTTCATTTTAATTGTTGATGTAATGATTTTCTATACGGTAGTGGATTACACGTAACACTATTAAAAACAGACCTCTACTACTTATACTGTCTAGTACGCACACGACCACTATTAGTCTGTAAATCAAGACCCCTTTTTTAAAAAAGCCCCAATCTGTGCCGCATAAAAAAATAACGCTCCCCGGATCTCGGCAGAATCGCTATTTGGGGTAGCGAGAATTAACTTGGCACGGCCCGGTACTCGATAGATGGCGCTAGACCCAAACATTTGAATATAAAATTGCACAACTTTGTTGTGAGTGCAGAAAGTGAAGATAGGTTTAGTGTAGTCGTCCTGTCTTGAGAGCAAATTTGGCGAAGTTGGTAAGAAATATGTTGTTTATTAATTCTCTCTATTCAGCTTCATTAACATTATCTTATCATCCCAACTTTCTTTTTGTTTTGAATAGGAGAATACCTGAAAGTTGTGTTATTTTTGTGTTTATGTTTTCATCCTCAGTCCCACATGTCAACATATTTGTACAGTATCGTTTCCTATACAATCTTGATCTTGCAGTTGCATGATGAGCGATGATCGACTGAAGGACTTGGTGATAATATTGAAATAGATTTAATTGTCATCCATTCCATAGGCATACCCGCAATTGCACTACTACTACACTAGTAAAGTCTTGTAAAGCATAGCCATAGTGGTCAATAACTCCAGGAAGCTCCGACGCCAATGCCGAAGGCCACTTCGGCATCGGCGTCGCTTCCTGGAGTTAAGTGGTCAACACACATAGCTGCATTACTATCCTGGCTGTTTATTAAAAGCTGTGCTATTCATTCTCAACATTTCAAACACCCAAATCTGTACTTTAGTGACAATTGATGACACCTAAATAGCAGTAAAATACAATTTTTTAAACTTACTGATGTACGTTGGAAAGAATAATTAAAAAATTCAAATTGTAAGTCTAGATCTACTGTCAAACTTGCCGATCAGCCACACCGTCATGATTGTGTGCATTTGAGTATTTAGTGATTAGAGTAAAAATGCATGCACAGGGAGTGTCTGTAAATTCAGAAAGCTCCCTGCACGCACCAAAGTACACTAAACTAATCGGCTAATCGCTATTGTCGTAAAGGCAGCATCAAATTCGCATAAACGATATTTCAGTAATTTTGTGCATTGGAACAAATCAGAGAGTTGACTGCCACTGCATCACAGTGACATTACCTATTTGGCCAATTAGAGATTCCCTTCTGTATAGTGATAACAACTTTTAAAAATTCAAACTTTCTTATTATTTGTCCGATTTCAATCAAACCACACCGATCTGGTCCTCTAATTTTCTCTGAAAGTTTAAGGTAGGATTTTCCTTTCAAGTGTCCAGATACTCAACCCTCCTATCTCATCATCTTAACTGCTGCTGTTGATGTTGAATAGGAATCCTAATGAGCTGAATATTTGAATCTATATATCAGTTAATATCCACTTATCGGGGTCTATGAAAAAATATGCAAAAGTCAATTGGGTAATTGTAATTTTGCCAATTAATAAGAAAATGCTATTGTCCAAATCTTTTAAACGAAACCCGTTCCTTTGTATCGTCAGGAATGTTTAGTTTATAAGTCTGCAGAAATGCATTACCTCATTGTCCTTATGAATCTATTGCAGATCTATATACTTTTTAAAGAGTAAAGCATAACTTCTGCTTTAAGTTTAAAAATATTGATTGTAGATGCCCCTGTTTTGAAGAGCTTGGATCGTTATTGTGTGAAGTAAAGACATGCATGATTTTGAAGACTTAAATGATATCACTGCCGAGTCTCCTGAACACTAGAGTGGGGAGATTTAATCGTTCAGGTCTGACTGAAAAAGATGTCATCTTTATGTTGATAAACAATGTTGATTAAATGCTGCTTGTAAGTGTCGGCTTGCATGGTGATGTAGATATACAGTAGGTTTGTTTTTAATCTCTCACATGGTGCACCCGCAAACCTACTGTAAATGTTGATTAAGTCCAAAAAAATAAATAAATAGGACAAGCCATTGGTTAATGTCTGCGGAAAGCTTGCTGCATTCACGAAAGTTAAAAGAGACATCTTCTCAAACACCAACGATAAGTGTTAATTCTGCTTAATTTCAGTTTGCTCTGACTTCATTTTCCCTAACATAAAGATAATACAGTCGTCAGAATACAGGCCCCCTAGACACTTTGGAGAAGGCTGTCTAGATTACATTTCAAACTGTCAATTATTAATTGTACACAGATTAAAGGCTTGAACAAATGCAGTCTAAAGACAACAGTAGCGATCAAAGGTCAATGATACAATGTCATTTGTTAAGGTTGATTTAGTTTTGCCATCAAGTACCAATTAAACCTAAATCAGTTCATAAAGTTGCATGCAATTAGATAATAGGAGTTGGAAGAGCATCATTGAACTTTGCCTTGTATCTGATCTAAGATCTACTGCTATGAAGCAAAAATAACCTCACTTTTCAAAGATCTGGACAAGAAACTGGGAATAAATTTTACTTGGTCAAACTGAAGCCTCAGTAAAGCAAGGTATTATTGGAGCACTTTGAGCTTTTAGCTTTGAGAGAGAGAGAGAGAAGGGGGCCGTTGGGGGGGGGGGGGGGGCAGAGAGTATCAAAGCTCTACACAGAGCTTGTAAAAGATTGCACCTGTTCTTCAATTTGAAGCACTATATCTTCACTAATACCTGCTCAGCAAAGTCATGTGCATCTTTCAAATGAAAGCTTAGAATGTTGAGGAAAGGAATCTTATGAAATGAAAAAAATTGATTGTTGGTGGGTTTTTTTTTAATACTGTCCACAGGTGATACCCAAGGCACTTGGGAACTTAAATGCAAACTTGCAAAGCACTACTATTCATTCACCTGACTGTAGACAAGTTTCCATGAAGCACTTACTTCCTACCAGGTACCCTTGTACCACACCCGGGTCGAGAGTGGCAAACATCCATGTACATTAATGATTGATTATGTATTACCCGTATATTCTTGCAGAACTCCACTAATAGCAGACAGCCATGGTGGTCAGCATCGGAGTCGTATCGGTCATCGTCACCCTCTCGGCCATCCTGACATACTTCCTGGCCAAGATCCTGCGTGTCTTCCATCTCATCAGCAAGTTTGACGGACCACCTGCCCTCCCGATTGTCGGCAACGCCCATTTATTCCATCAAGATGCAAGAGGTGGGTGTGAGATTTAAAAAAAATTAGATTATTCGCCCCCTATTTCTAAAAATCTTTTTACCAATGGCTTTATGCTTGTCATACCATGACAAAGCAGGAAAACAAATTAAAAAATGTATTTTTGAACAAACATTGAATACAAAGAAATACATTAGAAATTAATAAATCAATAGAAAATATAAGGAATAACCTGGCTCTTCCAATTTTTTTGGAGGATTATTATCCCAAATGGTCTAAAGAATATATGAAGTGAAAACTAATGATTAGATATGAAGAATATATGATTTATGGGTAAAAATGTGAATTTTATTACCTTATTTGCATAATTTACCATAAATATGCAAATAAGTGATCGGCCGTTCAATGGCTGAGATCATTGGGGGGGGGGGGGTCCCTTAGAAGCCCCCCCCCCGGGCGATGCAGTTTCAAAATAGCCCGGGCTAGATAGGGTTAAACTTATCTAGAATATTTCTACTTTCTACACATTAGACTGTCCATGAGCTCATTGCAGTTTGATGGGACAAGTTAGCTTTATAGGTTGTATGTGTACCCATATGTGTACTAGCATTTGACCACTTACAGTATAGCAATAAGGGAGTTTACAGATAGCACATGGTACAAATGACCCCAAATATCCACAGATCTTTTTCACATGGAGAAGTTCCACTTTGAGCATCTTAGAATAATAACTGCCAAAGTCCTAGATGTGCTTCATGAATACCTTTTGTTTGCCCTCTTGAAAAGAATACATGCACTTGCATTTCTTAGAATGTACCGCTGGTGCATAAAGTAATAATGTTACATAACTTCCATGAGCGCATATCCAGTATTCATCTCTGTGGGTTTTACCTTTTTGGTACAAACGACCTTTATCTGCTCATGCTCAGACTGAAACCGTAAACTGGTTTATTGGCAAAAAAGGGCTGTGGTTCTTTTCTTTGTCCTTTTCCTGAGACAGAGTTCTTCAAGCAACTGGTAGGATGGACTCAAGAGTTCCAGTCCCAGGGCATGTTCCGTATCTGGCTGGGGCCTGTACCTATCGTTATTTTATGCAAGGCAGAGTTTGTAGAGGTACAACTATCATGCTCGCACATCAAGAAGTTGCCAAGCTTGCGCGTCATTTTTCAAGCATATCAACCATTCATTAGAGCCTCACTGCCAGGAGTCACTGCACTAGTTTGGCCAGGAGGGATTAGACTTCCATGCAAGGTCACTGACAGGTGGTTATCTCATCCTCAATTAACATAAGAAAAAGAGGATCATGGGGGACCACTGGTCACAGATTAGGCATTTTTTGCTAAATAGAGGGCGCAAGTAGCTACAAGTAATGCAGTGGGGCTTAAACCTCATCTAGTGAAAGAAGTGACATTTAATTAAAAATTCATCTAGCAAAAAAAAAAGAAATAATTTTTTTATTCTGTGTATTTGTGAGCTTGTTAATCCTGCTAGCCTTCAAACGCCAGGCGTGTAAATATATAATCACTGCTAGCATTCAGTTTTTTTAAACTTGCCAATTTGTTTGAAAAAAACAGAGTTCTTCAAGCAGCAGGAGGAATGGATGAAGAAATATGAATCCAAAGGCATAATGCGATTGTGGCTCGGACCCATGCCATTGCTTGGAGTATACAAGGCCCAGCACATGGAGGTAGTACTATGTTACTCACACCACATGAAATCATCAACCTCGTGTTCCTCGTGTTCAGACTACCAAAATTCATTGTATAGCAATACGATAAGAATGAGCAGAAACATTTAACGAAACGCAGGTTTGAGCATCGTTTCGAACAAAACCCTGTTAGAGATTCAGGGTCCCGCTCTAATCTTTGCGTTGTTATTATATGAAAAACGTAAAACTTGGCGTGGCTTATCATGAACTTGCCCTAATAACTGGCCAGCTGTTGTGTCAATCGACCTCTCCAAATTTAACTTATACAACGTTTCTTTCTACGATGTTGTTTTGTAGTCCGTACGCTATTCTTTCTATATGATGATTCGTTATACAACGTTTTATTTAAATTTCATGTAGTCTGAACATGATATTAAACCCCTGCAGCACGCAGTAACCCATTTTGTCTTTGAATTGTTGCATGAAGATCATTTCTTTCAATTTTTTAGCTGGTATCGAGAGTGTATTTGGTAACTTTTGGCAAAGTACATAAAGTAGCAATAGCCAAAGTTTTGTCTTTTTGTATATGTGTTTTTTGTTTGTGTGTTTTGTTTTCGTTGATTATTTTTCTTCCCAGTTTTGTTTGCATTTTCCCCCTGTTTTGTTTGCATAAAGTTGCTTAAAGATGTTATTTTTTGAAGATCCACAATTCGTGAAAATTTCATGCCGCGAAAGAAGCCATCAGCTCCATTTTGCGAAAGTTTGCGGTTTGACAGTACGCTTTTGTGCATTTCTCTGTTCATGTTTCAGAATTTTTCATGCAGATAGAGGACTGGGTGAATGAGTACAGAGCAAAGTCCAACGGTAGAATGAGATTATGGCTTGGCCCGGTTCCTGTCTTTTTTACCTTTAACTGTCGAGATTTTGAGGTGAGGGGGTTTCTCTAAAAAAATTAACCAGCAAAAATAGCCAACTATTAAAAATTATTAACACTTAAACTCATTATAATACTTGTAGTACTTGGCGAGGATGATGATGGTTATAATGCTAATACTACTTCTAATGATGATAATAGTAATAATGATGATGATGATGATGCTTCTACTACCACTACCCTTACCACCACCTCCACCACCCACCACCACCACCACCACCACCACCACCACCACCACCACCACCACCACCACTACTACAGTACTACCACTACTACCACCACCACCACTACCACTATCACTACCACCACTACTACTACTACCACTACTACCACTACTACTACCACTACCACTACCACTATCACTATTCACTACCACCACTACTTCTACTACTACTACTACTACTACTACTACTACTACTACCACCGCCACCACTAATACTACTACTACTACTACTTCTATTAATAATAATAATAATAATAGTAGTAGTAGTACTAATGACGATGATGTTGGTGCTGCTAGCTTTGTATAGTGCTCATATCCATCATACTGTGAAGCTCATGGCGCTTGGACATTATTATTCCAGTTATAGCCAAGCTATGCTATTAAATATTCAACTGACTGTCAAATGTAACATACATAATTGGTGTACATACTACGTATGTGCATATTTATCTGTTTGTATGAATGTATGTATGTCACTATATATATTTATTCATTTATTCACTAAGCTTATCCACAACTTTACATACCGTATGATGGGGTAAACTGCAACGGTTTCTTGTAATGGCATTGGTATATAGTAGGCCTACTTCACATTGCTGTATCATATTTTATATGAGTCTGCAAACCATGCATGACAATGCTTTTTGCACACTGCCACACAAGTAGAAACAATTATGTTATATCTGGTGCGTACGCACCAGATATCCCCCCCCCCCCCCAACTGAGCGAAGTATCGGTCACGATTTTCACATTTGCGGGGGCCCAAAAAAAATTAGTTCTCTCCTTACCCCCCCACTGAACGAATTATCGGTTGGTGCGATTTTCAAATATTTGGAGGGCAAAAAGAATAATAAATTGTTGCTCACTACCCCCCCCCCCCCCACCCCCCCCCCCCTCCACTGAGCAAAATATAGGTCAGCACAATTTCCAAATTTTCAAACACCTTCCTTGAAAAAAATCCTGCGTACGCCACTAGTTTTATGTATATTGTAATGTATCATGTTTAAAAACAGTTGAATGCAATATCTGATAATTCTATATCAAAGAGAAACAACAACAAAATTAATGAATCAAAGAGAGCCAACAAAGAATTAAAAATAATTACAATTTAGAATAAAAAAGATCTTAAGTTATTACGGATGTAAAGCTTACATATATTGAAGTGTAGTTAAATATAAAAAGCTTGCTTCATGGTCAAGAAAATAAAAGCCTGTGACAAAATGTTCCCCCTTATATCTGGTAGGTTGTTATGAGTAGCAGCAGGCATATCAAGAAAGGTTATGTCTATACCTTTTTACATCCCTGGCTTGGCCGTGGTTTACTGACAAGGTAGGTTGATTTTTATGCTTTAATCATAGTCATAATAAACTCCTGACTTCAACCCTTGGCTTAACACTTTACATAACCCTAACCCTAAACCAAACTTAAAACCCTATTGCAGCCCTAACTACTATCCTATATTTTTGATTAAGTAAAGCCAAGAGATATGTGACATTGTTTTTGCAGACACATGTATGCATTAAAAGGGTTTATAAGAACAGTAAATTATACAGAAAAAATAAAAATGTCCACAAATTGAGTTACAAGGTTTTGTCACCCCATCAATGATAAGAATGTCATTGCAAAATGTAATCAGTATCATTAGTTTGTCATTCACATCTTAAAGCCATTGAGTCTTTAAAAGGTAGAGAAATTAGGAGGTACAGTGAACGATAATGAGGCTGCAGGCACAGAGGAGCATTACTATGTCCCTTTGCAAGCATAGACTGACATCTTGTTGAGGATGGGGGGGGGGGGGGGGGGGGGGTGTTGTGTTTAGGGGAACAGGTGCAAAAAGTATACAGGGTAGTTCTTTTAAAAGCCTTTTTTAGGTGGACATAGACACTTTATGATATCAACATTTTTCTTTTAATTTGTTTTTTCTTGTCAGTACGGGACAAAAATGGTTTCACCGCCGGAAGCTGCTCACCCCAACCTTCCATTTCTCCATCCTCCAAAACTTCATGGACGTCTTCAACGAGCAGAGCTTCATCATGGCAAAGAAGATGGAGAAGTTTGCCGACCAATCAGAGCCTTTCAACATCTTCCCACAAATCACCTACTGCGTTCTTGATATCATTTGTGGTAAGGTCTTTTTGTTACGGCACATTCACACTTGACACAGTAAAAGATATAGATTTAAGCCTCATTTAAAAAAAATTGATTACATAAAATTAAACTGTGATAAGTTTCACATTTTTGCATCTTCTAACACAGAGCTCAGTGAATACGTGTAGGACAAGGACCTTTGTAACATTTAAGAAAAAACTGTCATTAAAAAAAATGTGCTATTGAATTGCAAGTGGCTATGAAAAAAGGGAAGCTTTGCACAACAAAGGTCTTATATATGCTCACCTACTTGTATCTCTTATTAGTGTATGTTATGAGATACAGTAATGTTCAGGATACTTCACTTCTTCTGTCCCAGCGATTTACTGTGGAAGTTTACCTTGGCGGTTTATGACCACAGCTTATGTGTACAACGTTTTGAAGAGAATGCTTTTCATGTGAGCAGAATCTTTTTCTCTGTGAAATTTACACAGGAGAATTTATGCTAAATCTAACATTTGGAAGTTATACATGTTGTAATAACAGATTGAGTGCCTCTAAAAAGACATTGCATACCCATATTAATTGCTATGTAAATCCAGAATATGACTATTAGTAGTAATAACAATGTGTTTTTTGGTAAAGTGCATATGTCCTTCTCATTATTATCATCCCGTTATGGCAGCTATACTAGTATGTAGTTTTTGATTTTCATTAGTGTTTGTAGATATCATTTTCAAAGATGCTATGGATAAAGATTAGTTTGTATATTCTCAGCTGCTAGGGTTTGATAAGAAAAACAAGTAAAAGATAATTTTGTTTTGTTTTGTTTAAACCTTAAAGTTAATATTAATCCAGAAGTGTAGACTTTGAAATCTCTTGAATTAGATCACATCCAAACTTTTATACCGGTAGTATGTACTATCTACTTATCAATTATTGATTTAGGCCGTATGCACCAAGTAACCAACTGATACAAAAAAGACAGAGGTACAAGCTTGTTGAATTTGTCTAGGATTCATTCAAGTCTGTTTACATCTATCAGAAGTAGATGATATAATCGGCGGAAAAACTAGCTAAACATTCGTAAATGTTGACTGTTCCCTAGACTGTTTATAGAATTTAAATCAGCTCTACAAATTTAGTTGGACATGTTTAATTAAAAGGATATGCTGCTGAAAGTTGCATTCACTTTAACATCAAACCTATTCTTTTTTATCTGATAAAATAGACCTTTATTTCATTGAATTTGATAAAAACATGTATGATACAATTGGATATAAACTCACATTTAGATTTTGTGCTATTTTGTATATTTATTTCATAAAGTCACATTGAAATTGTGTGTATGTATGTGTGTGTGTGTGTGTATGTGTCTATTTCCATATTAACAAAGTTGCCATGGATAGTGAAAATGATTCCCATGGATAATAAACCAATATCCAGAAAGTTTGGCAAACTTTTGTCCTAAGTTCTTATATCTGATTAATTTTTGTCTTTCAGATACTGCGATGGGGAAGTCTATAAACGCTCAGGGAGAGGGGGATAATGAATATGTTACAGCTGTAATAAGGTATGAAAATTAAAGCTGATGTGACCAAGATTTGTTCCTAAAATTGTATTTCTATCTCTGTATGACTGTTTGTCACTGTCTGTTTTCTTCTGTTTTCCTCTTTATTCTCTGTCAAAACATTTTCTCACGGATTGGGCCCATCGTTACCATCTTGTTTTAAACCTATTTTGGGGGCCCCCAGGATCCGCCCCTGTTTTGTCCAGGGCTTGACACTAATGGCTCCCATATTCACTGTTGAACCCCTCCCCTCCCCCCATATTAAACATTTGGCATCGAGTTGCTGTACATAGCACATCTATGTTGTGGATGATAAGAATGTCTTTCAGTTGCTACTTTGTAATTTCCATTTTCTTTTGTCTCTTTTGCTTCACCATCAAAGCATGACCAACTTGGTGCAGGAGAGAATGAAGAAGCCCTGGTTCTGGCCTGACCTGCTCTATGATAACATCCAATCGGGTAAAAAGCATGCCAACAACCTTAGAGTACTGCATGATATGACAACTAAGGTGAGAATACGGATGATAAACCTTCAAAGAATTGTCTGGGTTTCAGGAGTTGTTCGTTGTTAGACTATGGGACCAGGTTATTATGCTTTTTAGTTAATATTGTTTAGAATTACCTTGAATTTTGTTGTTGGTGGTAAACATGTTGGAAATATTAAGGAATTTATTGAACCTGTGTGTACAATTATATAATCGATGGAACCTTTACCAGTTAGGTTGCTTTTCTTTCGATTGCGACATATAAATGACAATGTACCAATTAGAGAATAGCCCAAGTCCTTTCGATACAGAAAAAATAATTTTATATAGAGCAGATTAGGGAGATATTCATCAATCTTTGACGAGTGTTGAAAAAGCTGACTTTTATGTTTTGGACTTATGTATATTCCAAAATATTAACAAAAATAAAATCTTTTTGTACCCCTCTCCTGTGTTTTCCTGATTTACATGTAAGTTTTTAAAAGAATAAAAACATCTGGCACTACTATCCTTCTCTTCTCCTGTATTTCTTGTAAATTTGTAAGTGAATTAAAATTATCTTGCTCTTTCTTGCCCCGTTTCTGTCTAGATCATCAAACAAAGATTACAGGAGCCTCCCAGAGCCCTGGATGGGAGCGAAAAAGATGAGGTTGCCGGTAAACGGAGGAGGATCGCATTCCTTGATCTCCTTCTCCAGATGCACAGGGAAGACCCAAGCTTTACACTAGAGGACATCAGAGAGGAGGTGGATACTTTCATGTTTGAGGTAATGGCTAGCAGTAGTTTGGCCAGGAGGGATTAGACCTCCCTGCGTGGTCACTGGCAGGTGGTAATTTCATCAAATCAGCTCTCAAGAAAAAGGGGATCATGGGGGATCAACGGGTATTGCTTAGGCATTGTTGGCTATATAGAGGGCGCAAGTAGCTACAAGTAGTGCAGTCCTGCTTTAATGAAATATTGATGATGATGAGGAGAATTATAGACATGTGAATGTAGAGAATCTCCTTTGAAGAAAAGGATGGTTGCTCCTGCTTTTTTTCTAATTGTTGGCTGGCGATGATTCTGGTTTTGATGATGATGTTCATGATCATGCTACGGCTGATGGTACGGATGACGGAAATGATGATGACGACATGAACAATGGTGGGGATTTTTGTGGTGACGATGGTTGTGAACATGTTACTGTAACGGATTCTTATTAGTTAAAGGGGAAGTCCACCCTGAAATTATGTTAGTTTTAATAGGAGTAGAAAAATGAGAGAAACAAGTCAGTGAAAGTTTGAGCAAATTCCGATTAAAAATAAGGAAGTTAGGATTTTTGAAGTTGTGATCAATCAAACACAAATTGGCAACTCTATGACGTATCATGCGAGCTCAACTTCCATTTGCTCAGTACTAAAAAAATCTAAAATTTTCATTTTCCCTCAAGAAAAATTTCAACCATACATGCACCCTAAATATAATAATTGCAAATATGTTTCTATACTCCCCCTGCAAGGAACAAATATATATTCCGTCATCAATAACGAAGAAAACATGATTTTATGGAATATTATGCACAAAGCAAATGAAGGAGAGCTCGTATAATAAGTCACAGAGTTGCCAATTTGTATTTGATTGATCACAACTTCAATAATTCATAACTTTCTTATTTTCATTCAGAATTTGCTCAAACTTTCACTCACCTGATTTTCTTATTATTCTGCCTCTATCGAAACAAACTTATTTTGGGGGTGGACTTTCCCTTTAAGAAGTTTAGAACTCTTGCTGTTGCTCTCTTTGTGTTGATAGTGGGAAGATGTTGCTCTGATAAGGATGATAAGTAGGGGGATGATGATGACGATGTTGGTGCTGGTGATGATGGTAATGGTAATACAGTCAAACCTGCTTTAGTGACCACCTGTCTACAAAGACCACCTGTCTAAAAAGGCCACATTTTTTGTTTCCCTTGAAAATGGTTCCTCATTGAAACATGTACTAAAGGAAACTGTACATAAAGACCACCTGCCTATAAGACCACTTTTCCTGTCTCCCTCGGGTGGTCTTTATATACAGGTTTGACTGTACATGTGATAAGTACCATCATCTGTGAACCTCTAGGTAACAGAAAAAACAACAAATTTCTGAATGATTTTCTGCTAGGGCCATGATACGACAGCTGCAGCGGCATCATGGACGATCCTGATGATTGGCCGCCATCCTGAGGTCCAGACCCGCCTCCATGAAGAGCTGGATGAAGTCTTTGGTAAGTCCTACCCAGGATCTAATGGCTCCCTCTGTAGGTTCTGCTATAGTATATGTTAACAAGGTTTGATGTCTTTGATGATGATTCTCATATATTACTTCTGTTATTTATAATTTCTTTTAGGGATAATAATAATAATAATAATATTTAATTTTTATATAGCAATAAGTACAATTTATATGCATATATTCAATAACAGACGTTAAAATGAAACCTCTTCAATTTAAATCATAATGTGGTGGGAAAAAAAATTAACAGAGGCCAATGGCCTATCAAGGTTGATGAATTACTAGAATCAAATCACCCAACCTTCTGATTGTATATGTACAACGATTTACTCATAGCTGAAACTAAAAAAAACACAATTTTATTTAAAGAGTGGGTGATGTTTTAAAATTTATCATTGTGGTATATCATGATGCTTTTTGTGCCACATTTGCAAAACCGATCAGCTTATATCAAATCTTTTCTTATTTTTCCCCCTGCAGGTGACAGCGATAGACCCATTACTGCTGATGATCTTCAGAAACTCCAGTACCTGAACTGTGTCTTCAAGGAAACCCTGAGGCTCTGTCCCTCGGTGCCCATGATAGGCAGGGATCTCGAGGAAGACTGTGTCATAGGTAGGTTCATTCACTCCAGTACCTGAACTGTGTCTTCAAGGAAACCCTGAGGCTCTGTCCCTCGGTGCCCATGATAGGCAGGGATCTCGAGGAAGACTGTGTCATAGGTAGGTTCTTTCACTCCAGTACCTGAACTGTGTCTTCAAGGAAACCCTGAGGCTCTGTCCCTCGGTGCCCATGATAGGCTGGGATCTAGAAGAGGACTGTGTCATAGGTAGGTTCTTTCACTCCAGTACCTGAACTGTGTCTTCAAGGAAACCCTGAGGCTCTGTCCCTCGGTGCCAATGATAGACAGGGATCTAGAAGAGGACTGTGTCATAGGTAGGTTCTTTCAAAAGGCCTGTTTTCATCAGCTCGAGATTGCCAAATAGCCCGCTACTTCTGATTTGGGAAATAATCCCTAAGTTACAAATCGCGTATTCATCAGCTCAAGACTTGACCTCGAAACTTGAAACTCGAGCTCAACAAATTAGCTTGAGATACTTTGCTCAGCGTTTGCGCATAGTGAGAGTCTTCGGGTTGGTGAAGACATACCGGACAAATAGCAGGATATTTTTCAAACTAGCCCAAGATATCTTGGGATGATTATCTCGACCATATTTCCTGCTAATTGCAACTTCGTGCTGATGAAGACTCAAATTAATTGGATATTTGGCAGCGATCGGGATATTTCAAATAGCGGGATATTTGGCAATCTCGAGCTGATGAAGCAGGCCTAAGAATCTTGCTACTTCCTAGCACCTGTGGTGCTAATGTTATGTCTGCAGGACTTCAGAAGAAAAAAATACCATGGGCAAATTCCCCCAAACACTACCTTTCCAGTGGTAATAAATATGTTATCATACTTATAAACTTTTGACCCGCAAACTTTCGACCAACCAACTTTCTTTGGTCCTCCTAAATTCAGCAACGACCTATTTACTCATTTAGACCAAGGTAACGAAAAACCTTTGAGGAGCCTAGGTACTCCTCTTATCTTCTACATACCGTATGTATTTAAATGACTAGATTGCCAATCTGTATATGCATCTTCAACAGTTACCTAAGTCGTCTTGTTTTATATCAGTAGGGGGGGGGGGGGGGGGGGGGGGAGGGATTGGTGGCAGGAAGATTGTTGAATTCCTTGCGTACTTGAGTATTCTTCTAATCAACTTAAAGAAATCTTCGATTTTTGATACTGATTGATTCCCTGAAACTTCCTTAAATTTAAGGAGCTTGAAGCACAGCCACCCCCAAAAAGCATGTCATACATGCTTTCTAGATATTTTAAATAATTTTTTTCTTCTTCTTTTAATGAAGTAGCTGTTTGTGGTCCTTGTGGCTGTTAGCTTTGTGCTAAACAAGTTATCCAATAAAGTCTACTACAACTGCTGCTACTCCTTGTTTTGCCGGTGTTGTCATTGAGTCCGACCTTGAGGTCGTACTTTTGTTGCTATAATGGGCATGGCACCATGTCCAAAACCTATCAAATATCTTGCAGTGGACTTATGACTTAGAACAGCTGGCCTCAATTACATCACTGATTTAACTGTTGATTAGGCAGTTGAAGTTCATGGGTCACATTACACGTATAGAAGGCCTAGAGAATCTTGCTTTGACAGGGAAAAATGTGGGAAGGAGGAGTATAAAGGGGAAAAAGGAGGATACTTTGGATGGACAGTCTGCAGAAATTATTGGAAGAGAGAGGAGTGAAAGAACTGGAAGTGGTGCTAATAGAGAAGGCTAGGAGCCAAGGGTTGTGGAACAGCATGATCGCCAAAGTCAAATGATATGGCACTTAGAGAGAGAGAGAGAGAGATTTTCACCTACTGTGGAGTCTTAGCTTTCTTCATACATGTAGCTTACAAGAGAGTACCTACTTTGTTAAACAAACAAACAAAAACATTTCTTTTTCTTCCTTTGCTTATTCACAGATGGTAAAGTGGTGCCAAAAGGCACTCTGGTTGTCCTGGGTATCTACGCCCTTCATCGCGATCCAGAGCAGTTCCCTGACCCGGAGAAGTTTGACCCTGATCGGTTCCTGCTGGAGAACTCGACCAAGAGACACCCCTACGCATACGTTCCATTCTCGGCGGGTCCTAGGAATTGTATTGGTATGTGTGAAAGATTTTATAGAATATAGGAGTGTGTAGAGATGGGAGCTGGGGGGGGGGGGGGGGGGCAGCAGAATATCATTTCAGGACCTGATGACTTTAATAGTATGTGGAAGAGCTAATGTATATTATGCAGGGAAAGGGCATTAGATTGTCCAATCCCAGCATACAGAATGCGATAAGTTCCTAAGAATCCTATTGATTTATTAATATCAATGTTGGATGTCACTTGTTTTTATCCAGCTTGAAAATATGATGAGCATTCCTTGTATAGTGGTATAGATTTAATTGACTGCTATGATGAGAGGCATCACTGTTTGTATAGGATAAGGGGATGTTACATCCTGCTATGACCCCAAGGAGGCCGAGGGGTCATAGCAGGATGTAACGTCCCTGAGAGCCAGAATAGAAACAGCTATGCTTTGAATATTAAAGCAGTCCATATATCTTTTTGTATACCGAATTCACAAAATATCTACAAATAATTCTTACCTTATTCTCCTCTTGAATAAAGATTGGTTAAAACATCACAGAAAATCTGAGACACTGTCTGTTAATCTTCACTGGAAAGTGGCATGAATGTTACGATCATTCTGGAATTGCACATTTACTGCACTGTATGGTATCCGCGCTCGCACAAATTAACTTTTTTCACGTAAACCAATGCCGATTTGAGCAAAATTTAACTGTGCAGCCTGTTACCCGGGGAAACGGGCATCTTTCTCATTAAGTATCGACTATTAGGCGGCATGGCTAAAATCATGACTCCCGATTAAGCATACTCTTACCTTGTACTGTCTATTCAAGTTCACATTATACTAAAATAAGTATTGTGATTTCTTTATTTGTACTTAAAGCCCCACTGCATTACTTGTAGCTACTTGCGCCCTCTATATAACAAACAATGCCTAATCGCACTGCATTACTTGTAGCTACTTGCGCCCTCTATATAACAAACAATGCCTAATCGGTGACCATTGGTCCCCCATGATCCTCTTTTTCTTATGTTATTTGAGAGCTGATTTGATGAGATAACCACCTGTCCAGTGACCTGGCAGGGTGGTCTAATCCCTCCTTTACACTAGTACAGATGGCCTTTAATGACCTCTCACCTTTCGACCCCACAGGTCAAAAGTTCGCCATGATGGAGGATAAGGTTATTCTAGCCAACCTGATGAGGAAGTTCTCCGTCGAAGCGATCCAGACCATGGAAGAGACGAACCCTCTCGGTGAACTCATCATGAGACCTAGGGATGGAATCTACGTCAAGCTCAGCAGAAGAAAATAGAGGGCGCTATAGGAATATCTAATTATGTTTTTAATTTTGCCGTCACAATATTTTCAATGGGAGTGTCACATTCATGTGTCCTCTGGTCTTAAGACTTGAATATGTAAACTAAGTCAATCATGGTTGAAAGATAGAGGGCGCTATAGGTATATCTCATCCAAAGAGGACATTATAAATAATTTTTTTATTTTGCCGCCATAATATTTTGAATGGGAGTGTCACATTCATGTGCCCTCTGGTCGTAAGACTCGAAGATGTAAACTAAGTCAATCAGGGTTGAGAAATAGAGGGCGCTATAGGTATATCTCGTCCAAAAATTTGCCATCCGAAAATTTTGATTAAGAGTATCTCACACACCTGCCCTCTTGTAATGAGAGCTAGAAATGGAATCCAGGGACCCCGTTTCACAAAGCCTTTTTTCAATGACAAATGACAAAGATCATTGACAAATTTGCTGATAACCAATCAGAAGCAAGGATTTCAGTAGCTTATAACAAAATATGTCATTTGTCACTGATGACAAGTTTTGTGAATCGCCCCCGTGGTCATGGCTCAGCTGAAGAAAATAGAGGGCACTTTTGAAATAACCCATAAAAAATGATCATTACTTTTTTTTTATTGGGTCCCTTAAATTTTGTAAAGAGAATATTACACTCATCAAAGGAAGCCCTCATGAGGAATATAAATAGATTCTACATCATGCTCAGCTGAGAAAGTAGAGGGCGCTATTGGAATAAAAAATGACATCAGCAATATTTTTCTAATTCGCCATAAAATTAGGATGCGAGCATCATGCCCCACACCCCCTTGAGTGGTACCCTTGCTAAACGCGTTACATCATTAAATTAAAGAAATTAGAAGTATTTTATTATAGATTGGAATTATTCTATTAAAGAGATCGGAAGTGTGAAGTGCCAGACCTGTATTATTATTCTAATAATGGCGATGATATTGTCACAAGTCAGCGTTAGAGACACAAGGAAAACTTGTTGAAATTGTTTAGATTTCTTAGCAGTTATACTCGATGATTGAGGAAAGTTGTAAATCCCCGAATCAAAAAGCCTGCTTTAGATAAAGAGGTGTAATATATTTCAAACTTGTTTGATGAAAATAGATCAGAGGATCAGATATTAATGCTGCAGAGGTGTATACACTTAGATACTTATTCTACTATCAGTTATACTACTTATTTCGAATCCTTATTGGTATTAATATGGTTTCGATAAATTTTACTAATAGTTCATAGATTAAAACGTTGCAAAACTTTTGGGATATGTACGACCGGAGTAATAGTTTATCTGTGAAGCGCTTAAAGACATCATAGATGTATTAAGCACTATGTAAAAGCGGATTATTATTATTATTATTATTATTATTATGTAGGTCTTTTAGTATTCAATATTCTCAGGGTGTTTTGCAAATGTGATGAGAACTTTGAGGGGTTTGGGACAAGGAGACGTCCTGTATGTACAATTATTTTTACCAAAGAATGAGTTGTCTCCCAAAGTATGTGTAAAAGAAACCAAAAAAATATATAACAGTATATATAGACCAAAGAGAGTTGATTGCCATTGGCAATGTATTTTATCCTAGAATATCTAGGAAAGGTTCATAGAACAGTAGGAAATCTTGCTATGTAATTTGTGTACTTATCATAGAGGTTTCATAGTCGAGTGGTTTAAGCATTTGACTTGAAATGCAAAGGTTGGGGGTTCTATCCTTGACATGACACTAATGTCCTTTGGCAAGGCATTAATCCACATTTGCCACTCCATACCCATGAGAGAGAAATGGGGACCTGGTAGGATGACGAAAAGCCTTCGTGTTAGTTATTGCTATATTGGGCAATTTCTACTAGTCATTACTTTTAAAATGTTATAAGATTATTTGGTATTTGTGGGATTAATCTATTTTGGTCATCATGTTCCCTTTAATAATCGAATTGTTACATTCTTGTCTTTCCGTCAGTCGGTTAGCTGAATGATGACACCAGAAGACAGATTGAGAATCACAATCAAGGATCTTCTATTTCTCTGCTCAATTTCGTCAAAGAGTAATCGATATCAGAAAATAAATTGCTCGATTTGTCAGGTAAACTTGTATGTTATAGTAGTTTGTTTGATTATGTGTCCATGTCAATATGGTCTGAGTGCCGATTGGTCAAAAAGAATGAGGAAAATGTTTATGAAAACTGCTGAGAAAAATATAAAAAAATGTGGACTTTCACAAAGCATAACAGCCTAAATCAACCGCATAAACCATTTAAGACCTCTTTGAAGGTTACTACAATGCGTCAGTGAGTAAACTAGTTCCTTATATCTCAATTGAATCGTTGTGTTCAGATAACAGCTCTAGAAATTATAACACTTATTTACGTCCGAATGGAATGAGAAAAAAAGAAACAACAATTGTGAAAAATGAAAGGGCGAAATTAGAAATTGAAGGTTGTAATCTATTACAGGATATTGGGTCATTCCTTGTCAAATTAACTTTGTAATTTTAAATTCTATCCCCTTTATCTAAAAGCTGAAAAGCCTAACTTTACCCCCAATTAGCCAAGAACATACAGATACAAAGCAAAACAAGCCAGTCTTGTGACTTCATTTAATATGATGTTCCCTCGATAAAGCGTTGTGGAATTGGAAATAGCATGTGCAATGTTATAAATAATTTCTAGTATTATTAGCTTTATTGTGGTCGACGCATGCGTGCGTTTGCGTGCGTGTGTATAGGAGATTTTTTATTGAGGGGGAAATGGTGCACGGCTACAGATCGAAAGTAAAACTTCAATTGATGTTTCAGCTTTTTGCTAAGGGGGGGGGGGTTTGACCAAAATAATGACGATGCGGAGCATCGTCCACGAGCCGCGAAGCGGCGAGCCGATTTTTTTTGGGGTGTTTATTTGAACCCCGTAAATGATGTTTTCCTGGCATCTATATATTAACACAATGGAGACCATAAAAAGCAGTGCATGATAACGTCTTTTTAAATCAAGTAACAATTTAATACACAGTTATATCCAGAGTTATCATGTGTTTGGTTAAGTTACCAGATGAGTTGAATATCTTCTCACAATATTTGCACTTGAAAGGGTTTCTCTCCAGCGTGCGTTCTTTTTTCTTTCTTTTTTCTTTCTTTTTTTTGTTTTTTGTTTTTGGGGTGCCACCCAACCCCCCTAAACCCCCCCCCCGTAGATCCGCGCCTGAAAGCTATCGTACTCATTCGACTTCTTCACAAATTTAAAGGTAAAGACCAGTAATGGTCATGCGATTGCATTGTGAAAGAAACGTTGTGGAATCGATCAGAAAAGGTTGATCATCTAGCATCTAGCATCTGCAAGGTTCTGGAATCATCAAAATGATAAGAAATTTGGCCCATTCTTCGTAAAGTTACAAGCACTATACACAGAAAGATGTATATGGGACTACCCTATCTCTCTCACCAGACCATGAGAGAAATAAATTTACCAAATATATGAATTAGTAGGCGGTTTCCCGGCAAATTTTTTATCATCATGTATTAGTCAAAACATATTCTTTCACATGATTGGTAATGAGAGCTTCCATTTCATTTTTTGAAATTGGGGCGTTGCCAATACTGGTCTTTACCTTTAATCTGAAACATTAAAGGAAGATTAATATATTTTGTAATGGCAGTTCCGTAACTGATGAGACAATGATTTGAATTGTCGAACTTTTTGTTCCCAACAAATTAACAACATCAAGAGTGGGGCGGTTAATATTATTATCATAATAAAATATTGCCTCACCTCGGGAGCAGAAGAGCCTGGATAAATAATGATTTTAGGAGTCAGGCTTGAAAAGCGCAATTCGGAAAGTTCTATGTGATTTGATTGATGATATTGTAGCATAACTAGTCCAGTAATTTAGTGAGACGTAGAGGGCGTTTTAGTTAATTGTGAAATATATATGTGGACATCGTGAGATGTCAGTAAGTTTGGTGTTGACCTGTCGTTGCGACAGGTTGATCCGTTACCAGGAACGAGTAAAGTTACTTGAACTGCAGATATACTGTGCCAGTGTTGTTTCTTTAGTCCTGTCAGACATTCAGTGATTGCGGGAGTGAGTAAAAGGAGAGCTAGTCCACGTTATTTCTTACACGATATACTTTTGTGAGAGCCCACTGAGAGTTGAATGATTGTCGAGAGCGTGGACCGGGTTTTGAGAGACTGCAAGGCAGAACGCTACCCCGGCAGAGCACGGTTACGCCACAATATGATAATAGGTTTCATCCCTATCATTAGGGACTTTTAGATTCGCACGAAGACAATGGGGATTGCCACGATCGACGTCCTTGTAATGCACTGCCTTGAATGGACGTCACAGTATCAGTCCACGCAAATCTAAAAGTCCCTATTGTCTATATTCCGACGCCCGTCTATTGGCAGCCAAATGTTATGTGTATCCAATTGTATCAGTTAGTTTATAAAACTTAGTTCTTCTAAGTGCATGTTTATACAGTCGAGGTGGATAGCCATTGTCATGGACGGCGCTCCAGGGTGGGGGGGGGGGGGGGGGGGGGGGGGGGGTGGGCAGGGGCCAATATTCATGTGCCCCCAAAGTGATCCTTTTACATAGGACAAGTGCCCCCTTTCATTTGTAAGAACTGCCCCTTTCCCTTATTATAAGTGCCCCTTTTTCTTTTGATAAGTGCACCCCTCATTTTTTAAAAGATCCCCTACACTTTCTCATAAATGTCCCTTTTCACACCCGATAAATGCCCCTATCAGAATATGATAAGTGCCCCTTTTCCTTTGCAGTGAGTGTCCCTTTTCCATTCTCATAAGGACACTTTTTCATCTCTGGTAAGTGCCCCTTTTCAGTACCCCTTACCACCTATGAGAAGTGCCCCCTTCACCTCTGATAATTGCCCCTTTTCAAATCTGACAGGTACGTAGTTTACTTTGACAAGTGCCTCTTTTCCTTTGTAATAATTGCCCCCTTCCCCTTCTGATAAGTGCTCTTTTTCTTTTTTGATGAGTGCCCGGCCTGTTCACCTCTGATAAGTGCCCCTTTATTTTGATCCCTTTACCTTTCTAAAAAATGTCACTTTACTTTTGATAAGTGTCTATTTTCCTGCACATAAATGCTCCCTTTTCACCCCAATAATTGCCATTATCAAAATCTGACAGGTGCCCCTTTTCCTTTATAATAAATGCCCCTTTTCCATTCTCATGAATGTCCTTTTTTTTATCTCTGGTAAGTGCCTCTTTTCAGGTGCGTGAAACTTCCCTTTTATTTTTTCCCATTTTTACTTTGACTCCGATTCGCACCCTTTTCCTTGTTGATAAGAGCACCTTTCCTATTGATAAGCCCCCTTTCCCTTTGAAATAAAAACCTCTTCACTATCTCTTAAATGCAACTTTTCAACTCTGATAAGTACTCCTTTTATTTTGACACGTGCCCCTTTTCCTTTCTAGTAAGTACAATCTTTCCTTTGGATAAGCGCCCCT